GAATAGAGGAGCTCTATTCAGTTAAGTAAAACATACAAGTATATGAAGTAGAGATGCTTATGTTTTGTTTTATTTCTCTCTCTATATTTTCTTATTGTCAGACGTCATCTGATAAGATCCTTTAACAAAGGTCGAAACTGGTAGTAGTATGCCACTTCCCCTGTCTTATATTCGGTTCTTCTTTCGTTACTTCACTCTTTCACAGACTATTTGCTAGCGTAGTCACAAACCATTTTAGAAGAAGAAAGTAGAATTATGATCATTAACTAAAGAAATATTATTCTAAAAAAATATTAGCATGAGTATCCAGTCTCTTTTTCTCTCTTGTTTTATTGCAAACAAAAGTTGTTTATGAAAAACAAGAGAGAAAAAGAGACTGGATACTCATGCTAATATTTTTTTAGAATAATATTTCTTTAGTTAATGATCATAATTCTACTGTCTTCTTCTACAGAAATGTTGTAGTTTTCTGTTTACATGTTAAAAAGAATATCGATGAAACTATAGATTGAACATCATTTTTTACGTGGTGACGGATGAATTTATTAGAAAGGAAAAACTGTATGAACTTATTTTGAGACGACTATTGCTGGATAATAAACGAACGTTATCTTATTTGATAGAATTGTAGATAGAAATATGAACGAAATTAATAATTATGCATATGTACCGTAATGTATTATTTTAAATTCTTAAATTTGATGCACCTATAGAGACTATTGTAAAGTTATTAATTGCTTCGTTCAACGACACTTTAGCAAATGAAGAATAATAATGATATTAAAAGGAAATTCTTCATACACTGACGGTTTACCATATCACCGATAGGTAAAATTTTTCAATAGAACTAAAGTCGATGAAAACTACATTTTTTAATATTGGACAGTCATTGTATATGTATCCACCAAAACAGGTTCGTGGTACTGCTAGTAGGGAAGCAAAATTTTTTTCGACAAAGAACAAAAAGAAGGAAAAACATATAACGACTCGAGCAAGGACCAACCCAGGCCATAAAAAATCCTTTCTTTCTCCTCTTTCCACCGAGTTATCGTGTCTATACTTTTCTATCGCCCTTTTTTTTAAATGAATGGCACATTTTCATCATGTCTATCTCCATTCTATCAATTATATACCACTCATAGTTATAATAATCAAATATCTACACCAAAATTTTTATTCTTTTAATTATTAATACAAAATATATAACCAAAAATATTTTGTTGGTGATGAGCTATGAAAAAAACTAAATTTTGTGCAAGTCGTCTATTGTGATCTTAAATTGAAGAAAAATATTTTAAAAGATATGAAAATAGTGTTTTGTCTGGAACTGAACTTGTAATCAAATGTAACAAATGTGTTAATACTGTAAAATTATCTGTTTTATGTACCTTGTAAGTAAAATAGTAAATGAAACTTATACTGCTTTAAATAATTATATTAATATTGATTAGTATACAGTTGATAAAAACAAATAGATAGTTATAAAATAAATGGAATAACAGATGACATACGAGACGAAACGAGAGCTAATTAAAAAAAATGGGTCGAAACGAGAGTAATTCATTCGTATCTGTGTCTTTTCTATCGTCTTTTTAATTTAATAAAAAGAAAATCTTTTATATTTTTCGTCTCATTTTCTTCTTTATTATGTAAAAGGAAAACAAGTAAGAAGAAATTATTTTTTCTTATATCTCAGGATGTGTACGCGAGCGCCCACATCAGAGTGGTAACGAAATACAATCGATCTAAAATTTAATAAGGAAATTAACGGGTAGGCCATGAAAACTCGGTCATTTTGTATTTTCTTTTTTCACAAAATCCTTTCCACTTTCCTCATCAGACTTAGTTCTTTTGAAAAGAACCACTACCAAATTCACTAAAAAACTATGTATTTTCACTTTCTTTATAAATTATTCTAGACAACGAAAAGTAAAAGTTTCCGAAACGTTGTACTTTCTGATAATCTAAGTTGAATAGTTCGGGATTTGCACTCTAAAAAAAATGCGACTTAGGATCAAATTAAGTCGCATTAATGTGTCTTATTATCACAGAATAAGGCACATATATGCGACTTAATTTGATCCTAAGTCGCATTTTTTTTTAGAGTGTGGACAGTCCTTGTTAGATGATACAGTTTAGCGAATGTAAAAATGATCGATAAATTAGAGGCTATCGATTTAGAGTCTTCACCAAGTCGTCCACGTGCAATTCGAGCCACAACAACAATAAAACGGTTAAAACAAAAGCTGGATAGGAAGAAAAAAGCGTCATCAAAAAAATTGGACAAAGAATTACAACTTCCAAGAACAACTGTTCGCAGAATATTGAAAAACGATCCAGGATGTCATGGATACAAAGTTATAATTGAACCAGCCTTAACAGATCAACATATACATCAGCAGAAAAGAATTTGTAAAATGGATTCGGAATAATTGTTGAAATGATCAAACATTAAATATTTTATTTTTTGGACGAAAAATGTTTGACATCGATAGGTCATATGATGCTTATAAAATGGTAGAATATGGGCAGTAAATTGTGCTGAAGCTGATAAAAAAGGTGATGTGAAACTTCAATTTTCAACAAAAGTTATAGTGTGGTTGGGAACTTGTTCTGAACGATTAACATCATTAGTGACTTTGGATAAAGGTTCGATTTTCCCATCATTTATTACAGCAATGATGCAATTTAGCAATTTACAAAAGCAATGGTGGCAATTTACCACTATTTATTGATAAAGACCTATAAATAGTGTTGAATCCTTTATACTATTGTACTTGGAATAAATTTGTTATGGCTATGAATTGGAGTAAGGTAACACCAAAATTAATATTAATTCAAGAATTAAAACGGACTGTTAAACGATTAAGATCAGAAATTGTATCAGACAGTTATAAAAGTTGAACAAATCGATTGTATCATGTTTTAGAAAACGATGAAAATTATTTACGCTAAAATAATATATAGTTTTGTCGAGAATTTGATGACGATTCTTTTATAGAAAAATCAATTGTGGAAAGGACAGGACCTTAAGAAAAAAAGAAAAATATAATGTGACCGATTTTCTATGTGCCACTCTTATCATTACTTACAGGTACTCCTCCATAGAATAAACTTCTTAAGATTTTAGACAAATCTTACTAGATTGTGAGAACCGAAAATTTTAAGATTTGATAAGATTTTGCTAAGATCTTAGTAAGATCTTACTAAGAATATACTGTCTTAGATTTTTTCAAGATTGGGTAAGAATCTGTTAGGATTTTTAATAGTAGGAACGCCGACGTTTTCTTAATAATATTCATTCAAGATCCGCTGAGAATTTTTGAATATTTAGTCTACATTATCCAAAGCAGCAGCTGAACAGTGTTGAAAAATGAAGCTAAATTTCATATTTTCGGGTGCCTGACCATGGACTTTGACCTGCCTGTACACTCTCTGAAAAGTTGTTGAATACTTTCGAAAGACCAAGTACTAGCAGAGTTTAAAAGCAAAATAACCGTAAAATCACTCATACTTTCGGTGTCACTTATATAGATAAATAAGGGCAAAACAAAAGGGTGAATAAAAGTACAGTCATTAAATCTTATTAAGATCTTAGATTATCTTATCAAAATCTTAAAGGATAAGGTCTTATAAGATAGTTTTAAGTACTGTCTACAGTTTTTACTAGGGCTCTCCCTTTTTTATTCAAAAGTTCAATTTTTGGTATTTGATGAATTTATATACTTTGGAATGTCTTTTTTCATATCATAACAACGGTGAAGTTTGAAATAGTCAGAAAAAGTTTTCTAGAAAGCCCACAGAAATCGTCTTGTTTGTTTGTATTTCCAGTGTTATTTGATAAATATTCGTTTTTCTCGATTAGTGCCGATAATTTTATATCAAAATTTTTTCCTCTTTCCCTCTTTTCCGTTTTTCGGTATATAATACATCATAATCAGAGACGAAAAGAAACCTTTTCAAGAAAAAGTTTCACTTTTTCAAAGTAGAGTAGGCGCCGCATACCTTTGCCAGCACATGACTGAGCATATGCGACACATGCTCATACACATGCCCATCCGATAGAGAATGGCTGATAACCGATAGGTTTAAGCGTTTTCCATATGAACTGGGGGCCTGTAAAGGTTTTTAAAACGAAAAACAAAGTTTTTAGACAAAATTTTCAGTATTTTAAAATAACTCGAGAAATTCAAATATTTTCTTGAAAAAAATTGTCAACCTGAGTTATCTATGGTAAAAATTTCGGCTCGATCAGACCATTTTCTCGAGGCGTCGTAATGTGACTGATGAAAATTAGAGTTTTTCAGAAAACCTCTAGAAAACTTTGACAAAAAATTCTAAGGAAAAATACATCGGTTCTCTTGTTCTATCGCTCTGGTATAAATTTAGAGCCAATCAGATTTTTTTCTCACATTTACCAACAAGGTCACAAAAGAGAGTGAATACCTTAATAAAAGATGATAAAATATTCATGCTTAAAAGAGAGTTTCGAGGCACATTCATACATATTAACACATTCTCATAATTGTATGAGATACAGTATGTAGCTAGATCTCTAGAGTACACAGTATCGGCGTTTATCTTGTTATAAATTAATTTTTCCAACAGATTAATTTAAAACAGTTTATCAAATATTTCTATTAAGAAAGATAGAACTGTTGATTAGAAAAACGACAGTATCATTTTCTCGTTGAAGAGCTGGACACAAACCATTTGTTGTAAAAAAAACAAAAATTGTCCACATTTATCATCTAGACAAAACAGACTAACAAAACTTTTTTCTGTATATAATTTATTATTTAAATTAAGTATGATTTCTTAGAGCGAGTAAAGAGTACTACAAGTCAAAATGAATGTATATATGTATTGGAAAGTGAGTATTCACCATAACACTATTTTAGATTAGATTAGATTATTTATTTCGACAAAGCTGTTAGAATGAGTCAGGGTAACATAGAACAAACAAAAATTTATTGCTTACATTAGAGAACTGTCACCAAAATTTTTCTAAATTGATAGCACAACGGATGAATAGAGTTGTGTTTGACTTTTAGAAACAGTATCGGTGACACATAACAGATACATGAAATTTAGAAAAATTGATCACAAACATAATTAACTTCTGTTGAATATTCAATATTTTTTAAGTTTTAGATATGAAACGTGTTACACTTTATTTTAATGAGAATTTATCATTGTTTACCACAAATATTGTTGATTTTACATGTTTATTTCTATGTATATTGGGTATTATTGGAAATACTATCGGTATTGTCATTTTTTCATCAAGTCGAAAATTTCGACGTCAAACAAATTATTCTTATTGGGCTATTTTAAGTTCCATTGTTAATTTATTATGTGTTTTACGCTATTTCACTTTATTACATTCTATTACTCGACAATGGTTAACTAAACAAGTTAGTCAGTATTTGTTTTTCTGTAAGTTTCATGAGACATTAACATGTTTAAGACTTCTTTCATCATGGATTACTGTTTTCTGGATTTTTGAACGTTTTTCAAATATTTCTACTATAATGCAATATTTAATATTTAATCGATGTTGGCTAAAAATGTATAAGCACTATTTTATGGCTTTGTTTGTAATCATCGTTATAACGATCGTCACTGGACCAACTGTTTATTTATTTCAAACGCAGTTTATCAGTAACAAAACTGCAGAAAACAATACAAAACCGTATTTTAGAACGGAAAAGTATGTATTTTCAATCACAACTGTTTATTCGTCCGCTAAAGAAAATTCATTTTTTTTCGTAGTTTACCTGCAATAGCTGTAGATTATCCCAATGAAACGATTCCAGTATCAACCACAACTGTCAAAGTTGTCTCTTGCCTAATGGAATGTAGCTTAAGTCACAATTTATCGTCAAAATGGCAAAATTATTTTCAAGATGTAAATATTGGATTTAATTATCACACTCTTCGTTGTCTATTTTCCGAATTAATTCCAACTGCTGTTGTTCTTGTGTTGAATTTAGCAATTGTTTATCGAATTATTCAAACAACAGACTTCGGTCCAATTGAATCTTCAACATATGATCAAAAACGTCGTAGGACGGGATCAAGAATGATGAATATCATTCTTATATTACACAGTTTCCTCTATCTCAGCTCGTTACTAACACATATTGCTGCTCACTGGTTAACACCTGAAGCTCATGAGTCTCTTTGGGTATCTCTTATTATTTTAATGAGTTGTTCTCTCAATTTTTATGTTTATTGTGCAAGCGGAAAAATGTTTCGAAATGAAATTCGCCGCCTGCTTCGTCCATGCTGTCGAATTTTTTTTTACTGTCATCGGCGTCGAACGCCACGCTCGCTAGGGAATATAAAACATTTTCAGTGAAATCAAATTAAATTTATAACAAAATAACACATCGTCATGTGTTTAACAACATGTTGTTCTTCAAATTGTATGGGATTTTCTGTGAGATTCTTCCAATGTTTAACAAACTTTTGGAAAAATCATAACACTAGCAAAAAAAAAAGGTTAAACATTTTTGTCTCAAGTACAATCAAAAGTTTGTTCTTTCCTTAATTTAAGATTTTCAATAGTTCATTCTAAACAAGTAACACATCGTTCAATGTCTCTCTTTGACTTTGTAGTTAAACTTGAAAAGTATCTTATTATCCAGTGAAATGCTGTCAATGTGAGTAATTTATACATTCAATATAGGAAGGAATCGTGATGGTTTCAAAATATAAACCTATCGTCGAGTGAAACGTAAACTGTAAACTAACTATTCCATAATCATAGTATTTGAAGTTTTTCGAACTTTGGTACATGCCTTGACTATGAATTGAATACGGCACAGTAGTTGTTCAGTTGCAGTGGCATATCAAAATTTGGTGCCTTTTTTCCTAGGGTGTTGCCAGAGAAATTTTTGCGGAATCTTGTAGCCCATGGTCGATTTAGTGATACGCCATATTTATCTCAAATGGTTCCTTTCGATTTCTGTGGAAAAAACATTTGGGAAAAAGATCCGTGCAGGATTCGAACCGACGACGTAAAAATTAGAAATATGTTTTTCTCTTTTTTGTAGTTCATTTTCCCTTACATTTTGATTCGAGAGATGGTCACTCTTTCTCAAGCCCTAATTAGCGGATTTCCTGATATGAAATCGGAATGTGCGCTGCGTGAGACATGTGTTTTGCTAGAAAGTTGTGGTGGTCCGTCCTCAAGTCTCGACAAGAAAAGTTTCTTAGTTCATGAAATTAGAGTTTTAGTCTCGAAACTCGCAGAACATTTTGATATAGACAATAGTCACAATTTCGACAGGTAGCACATTCCTCAATGAAATCGGTTTCGACTATAGTTCAGTAACGGTTTAGATTACCAAAATCAAACTTTAATTAATATCGGTAACGTTTTATACAGAATTTATGTAGAGAATCAAAAAATATCGAAGTCGAACTGTTTAAAAGTCATATATTTATACTCAATTCATAATGTTTACCGTTCACTTTTCATATTTTATCCTAAACTAGAAAATTGTTCCAACATATTTCGCTTTACAGAATAAGTTGCACCAAATCCTGATGCATTTTCTCTCATTTCCTATTTATAAAAAAAGATTTCTTTATATACCAAACAATAGACAATTTAATTCTCTACAAGATTGTATATTTATTTTTAACATTCATCTTTGATGTTTGGCATAGTAAGTCTAACAAGAAAAGCCTAAAATTGTTTACCTGTACCTTCAAAAAATTGATTTTTTACGCAAAACCTCGCTGAAAACCACTTATTCAACAAAACATGATATACCGAAAAATTCAGCAAGAAATTTTTAATGAAAAATAATGATTTTTTAGATGAAATCGGAGCGAAAAAGAGTCTATGAAAAGGTCATTCGCTTCTGTTTTTCGGCCATCTGAGCGATATCCAGTATTTCCTAGTTTTTCAAGTAAAAAAGTAGGTTTTACACAGTCAAATAGATTGCGAAAATTCTGCATTTTTTGGTCTATAAAGTAATGATCTGAACTTTGAATTTTATACTGAAATAATCAAAACGTTTTTTAGTGCTAGAAACTGCGGTGGACCTGGAAGTTTATTTATTAAAGCCACTAGCAATTGAAATAAATTTCCTTCAAGTAAATGCTTTTGTAAAGGATGAAATTCTTTACCATTTGACGGTAATATAATTATTCCACATTTTTTTGTATTCATTATAAACAATTAGAAAAGGGAGGTGGGCGAAAAATGCACCAAGATTTAATGCAATTTCTTCTGGGACACCCCTCAGCAGTTAATTTAAAAATTCATTTCTAATTGATATTTTAATTAGAACATCATTGTAATGTAGCCAATAGCTAAAGTTGTTGTACATGCCAATTTCAAAATATTGAAACCATTATAAGGAAAGATTTCATATAATTTCAACTTTATTTATTTTTAATATCAAAAGATTCTAGCTTCTGTGATACTTCTCTCATTCATTTCGAAAGAATTGAGAACTTGAAATTTGTAGTTAAAATCCACGGCGTTAGCCATTTTGGTACTTTATCGCTGGCCTTTCTCTCGCCAACCGATCCACAGACGAACATTTAAGTATGAGAATCTCTTAGACAATGACGTACTGATTTCATAGATATAAAAGCTAAAAGTTATATAGTAATTAGCATATAAATTTAGAATCATGGGTGGGGGGCAAGGGGGAAAGCACGGAATCCTGGAATCCCACGGAATCCAATGGAATCCAAAGGAATCGAATGGAATCCAATGGAATAGTTAGTTCATGTCAATGTTCGCATTGAATTATGAATTCGCTGCGAATTTGCAAAACAATGGTAAAATGCGAATTGTTGCATCATTTTTACGCCCAAAAATTGCGATTCGTCAATTCGTCTTTAGACACTTTGTCCACACTAATGTATTTTTTTCAGTAGGGAAACGTCCTCTTACAATAAATTTTTCTGTCCAGTTTACGTTACATCATGAAGTGGCGCCTTCTATTCAATCTATTATTTAACTAGTCTTCCTTTCATTAAGTTCTAGCAAACTCAGTGTATTTTGTCATCATTTCTGACATTTGATATAAGCTTTACTCTGTTAGAATACAAGCGGAAAAATACTCCATTATAGTATTCTAAACTATAATTATCGAAAACAACAAAGTCAATTTTGCATTAATTTGCAGTAAACTGCAAAACTAAATCCACTGTTCTGTATCTAAAATTTTATTAGTGTCTTCTTAAATCGCATTAACTTGTATCCTCTGTTGTTTCTCTCTTTTGTTTCGAGGCTACCACGGAATACTTACCGAGCAGTGTTCCAAGTCCTGCGCACAGGCACACAGTGTTTTGTATGACCCTAAGAGTAATTGCACGAAAGAGACAACCTAACGCACAAACCGTCGGTTAACCTCGCAATTAACCGGAAAAACGTACGGTTCGGACGGTCGATACCGACCATTTTCCCGGTTAATTGTGAGGTTAACCGACGGGTTTTCTGCTATGTTGCTATGGTTTCAGCTGAAATAACCGCGGTTAACCGTCGGTTTTCGTCCGGTTTCGACAACATGGGGATCTTGCTCAATTTCTTTTTTAAATTTAATTCTGATTGCACCGTTTTATGACTTTTTGTATGATCTGACGTTATTCACCAATAATGTTTCCAATCCAGATTTTTGGTGAATATATACTAGACAACGAGTACTACACATCTACCGACTCAAAAAACATTTTTCGATCC